GTGCATACCCTGTGTTAGGCTTATTGTTTGGATTCACTGTTATTTTGTTAAATTAATCATTAAAGCATTAGAGCTGTTTCATGCTCATTCAGTTTCCATTATAAACTGTAGGCTATTTGTTATAGGCTATTGCTTTTATTTAGTTATTTTATTGGCAACAATGTATTTTAAATGTATATTTCTGCATAATGACTTGAAATATTTTGATCATGCTAATGCGCTACTAATCAATGTAATCCTAAAGGAGTTATACTATGTTGCCTTATGTCTGCACATTTTTGTTTAGCAATTACATTGTTGTTGAAGTATAAGACAACAAATTAAAATAAGACATGAGAAGACACGGAGAAGGTGCCGACTTTCGGTCGGCACCAAAGTGTTTCTGGAGGACTGTCCGCCATCTCGGGAGGGGGAAGCGGGGAACCATCCAAGCTGTGTACAGTAAGGATGGGACCCTGTTGACCTCAACTGGGGAGGTAATTGGGCGGTGGAAGGAACACTCTTTAGTAGAGGCAGAGCTCGAGGCTGATGGGGGATTCTCGTCAATTTCCCTGGTGGAAGTCACTGATGTAGTCAAACAACTCCACAGTGGCAAAGCACCAGGGATTGATGAGATCTGCCCAGAAATGTTAAAAGCTTTGGGTGTGGAGGGGCTGTCTTGGATGACACGACTCTTCATTGCGTGGAAGTCGGGTACAGTGCCCAAGGAGTGGCAGACTGGGGTGGTGGTTCCCCTGTTCAAAAAGGGGGACCAGAGAGTGTGTGCCAATTACAGGGGTATCACATTCCTCAGCCTCCCCGGTAAAGTCTACTCCAAGGTGCTGGAATGGAGGGTTTGGCCGATTGTCGAACTTCAGATCGAAGAGGAACAATGCGGTTTTCGTCCCGGTCGTGGAACAACTGACCAGCTCTTTACACTCACAAGGATCCTGGAGTGGGCTTGGGAGTATGCCCATCCAGTCTACATGTGCTTTGTAGATCTGGAGAGGGCGTATGACCGGGTCCCCCGGGAGATACTGTGGGAGGTGCTGCGGGAGTATGGGGTGAGGGGGGCCCTTCTCAGGGCTATCCAATCCCTGTACATCCAAAGCGAGAGCTGTATCCAAGTACTCGGCAGTAAGTCGGACTCTTTCCAGGTGAGGGTTGGCCTTCGCCAGGGCTGCGCTTTGTCACCTATCCTGTTTGTGATATTTATGGACAGGATATTGAGGCGTAGTCGTGGCGAAGAGGGGCTGCGGTTCGGTGGGCTTGGGATCTCGTCACTGGTTTTTACGGATGATGTGGTCCTGATGGTATCATTGGTCCGTGACCTTCAGCTCTTACTGGATCAGTTCACAGCCGAGTGCGAAGTGGTTGGGATGAGCATTAGCACCTCTAAATCTGTGGCCATGGCTCTCAGCAGGAAACCGGTGGAGTGCCAACTCCAGGTAGGGAATGAGTCCTTACCCCAAGTGAAGGAGTTCAAGTACCTCGAGGTCTTGTTCACAGGTGAGAGGAGACTGGAGCAGGAGATTGGCCGGAGAATCGGAGCAGCGGGGGCAGTATTGCACTCGTGTTACCGCACCGTTGTGGCAAAAAGAGAGAGCCGTAAGGCAAGGCTCTCGATCTACCGGTCGATTTTCGCTCCTACCCTCAACTATGGTCATGAAGGCTGGGCATGACCGAAAGAACGAAATCGCGGGGACAAGCGGCCGAAATGGGTTTCCTCAGGCGGGTGGCTGGTGTCTCCCTTAGAGATAGGGTGAGAAGCTCAGCCATCCGCGAGGAGCTCAGAGTAGAGCCGCTGCTCCTTTGCGTTGAAAGGAGCCAGTTGAGGTGGTTTGGGGATCTGGTAAGGATGCCTCCTGGACGCCTCTCTAGGGAGGTGTTCCAGGCATGTCCAGCTGGGAGGAGGCCTTGGGGAAGACCCAGTACTAGGTGGAGAGATTATATCTCCACACTGGCCTGGGAACGCCGCGGGATCCCCAAGTCAGAGCTGGTTAATATGGCTCGGGAAAGAGAAGTTTGGGGTGCCCTGCTGGAGCTGCCCCCTCCCGCGACCAGATCCCGGATAAGCGGATGAAGATGGATGGATAGATATATATTATCCCAGTTAACAAATTAAGGATGGGAGGCTTGAACTTCAAGTTGTCTCTGATATCTATAATTGTAGCCTGTAACTTTACAGGGTTGGTTTTAGGAAGTACCACAGCACTGAGACTGCCCTGCTTAAAGTCACCAATGACCTTTTAATGTCTGCTGATGAAGGTATGTGCTCAGTCCTTGTACTCCTGGACCTTAGCGCTGCTTTTGACACCATTGATCACAACATCATGTTAGACAGACTGAGGCACTGGGTGGGGATCTCTGGTACTGCTCTAGAATGGTTTTCATCCTACCTGTCAAATAGGAAGTTTTGCGTGTCTGTAAACAACTATGTCTCTTCATTCTGTCCAGTTAAATATGGTGTGCCTCAGGGGTCGGTCTTAGGACCCATTTTGTTTTCCTTGTATCTGCTTCCCCTTGGACATATTATCCATAAACATGGCATTTCTTTTCATATTTATGCTGATGACACACAAATATACTTGTCTGTCAGATCCACAGACCCTGGAATGCTGAGTTCACTTAACAACTGCCTTTGTGAAGCTAAAAAATGGATGTCAAATAATATCCTCCAGCTGAACTCAGACAAAACAGAAATCCTGGTCATCTGGTTCCCTAGTAAATCACATTAAGCCTGTGGCAAAGAACCTTGGTGTTTGGTTTGATAGTAATATAAATTTCGAGCAGCACACCACAAAGCTTGTTCAATCATGTTTTTATCAACTTAGAAATATAGCAAAAATTCGATCTATGTTAACTTTTAAGGACACCGAGACAATTTTACACGCCTTCATCTCATCACGCCTGGATTATTGCAACAGCCTTTTCACCTGTTTAACCCAAAAATCTATTGATCGACTCCAGACTGTCCAGAACTCAGCTGCCAGGCTTTTAACCAGAACAAAGAAATATGACCACATTACTCCTATTTTAGCTTCATTACACTGGCTCCCAGTATGTTTTAGAATTGACTTTGACTATTGATCACTTTTAAAGCTCTTCATGGCCTCTCGCCTTGTTATATTTCTGACCTTTTAGTCCCATACGCACCAGCACGTACCTTGAGATCCTCGGGCAGAGGTCTGTTGTCTGTTCCAGAGTCTCGACTGAAAACTAAAGGGGACAGAGCGTTTGCTGTCAGGGCCCCGAGGCTCTGGAACAGCCTGCCCGAGGAAATCAGGTCGGCTGAGTCAGTGAACTCTTTTAAGTCCCTTCTTAAAACATACTTTTATAGGAGAGCTTTTCCCGATCTTATTTGACTTTATTTTATCCCTTTTATTTTATTCTATTTTACTAATTTTATATTAAATTTTCATGCTCTTATCTTTTTTTTGTATTATTCTTTACACTTGTTAAAGCACTTTGTAACTTGTTTTTGAAAAGTGCTCTACAAATAAGGATTATTATTATTATTATTATATTATTACAAGCTGGTTTTTCTAAGTTACATGATGAATGTGCATTGAGTCTCGTCAATCAATGTGAACACAGATTTCACCTTAAAATTGAAGTTTGCTAATGTGCATTTCCCCCTTTGCCGTGGTGTCTGACACCACAGACTGTTGTGGGTAGTTTTACCCACAAAAGTAAAACTACCCACAGGTGGTGTAGCAAGCGGTAGGCTATAAGGTATACGGTAAAATATAAAACAATTGATTCCACAGATTCCACAGATTCAACAGAATGAATTTAGTCTTATTCTCTTTGGTATTTGTGTCACATAGCCAACAAATGTAGTGATGATTGCTGGGTAATATGTATATGGCTGCCCAATCTAAGGTTTCTATTTGATCATGTGACAAGACTCCAGAAACCGGGTGAAACGCAAAATCTGACAAGTAGACTAGCGGAGCACACGTGCAAGCAAGCAGCCATGATATTCACACATAAACGTCATAAACTCCTGAGTTTCTCTGATACTCCAGACACGTATGGAATCACAATGTTGTTGCGTTTGACCTTCTTTTCCTCCTCCCCTGTAGTTTTGTTCTTCTTGGATCTTGTGGCTGTTTTCACAAAGGTCCATTTAGGGTATCCACAGGCTGTAAGTGCCCCCTTCAGGTGGTTCTGTTCCTTCTCTCTGGCTTGGGCGCTTGTTGGTGTGTTTTCCGCTCTGTGGTGTAGTGTTCTTATGACCCCTAGCTTGTGCAAGAAACTCAGGAGGATTTTCAACAAACAACATCTGTGTGTTTTAAACCCAAGAACACACTAAGACAGATGCTGGTACCCAAACCTCTACACAGTAATTTAAATACGGTAACACCAGTGAACAATACAAAATGTGGAGTGATCTGTAATCTAGAACGTGCTTAGCTTTAGCCAGGACTGAAACACTTAAAGACGGTTTTGTTTAGATATGTTTTATGTGAGATTTCCAGCAAATCTTGTCATCTATAATCACTCCAAGGACTTTCATTTCATACACTCTTTCTATATTAATACCCTTGATCTGTAACTGAACTTGATTGATTGATTTACAATTGCCACATGTCATGAATTTAGTGTTGTTCAAATTTAATGTTAACTTATTTGTGTCAAACCAGGAGTCAGTCCAGGAGTTGCTGTAAATTCTGACCAGAACTAAAAGATGTTTGTGTCGTCTGCAAATAATACAAATTTGAGTAGATCAGATACTTTACATGTCGTTTATGTAGAGGATAAATAATTTTGGTCCCAACACTGACCCCTGGGGGACACCACACGCAATGTCCACACATTCAGATGTGTAATCTCCCAACTTCACAAATTGTTTCCTGTCTTTTAAATAACTGCTTAACCAATTCAGCACTATCCCCCCTGATCACGAGCCTTTCCAGTTTATTTAGCCAATCATTTACCATCAGCTGGATCTGCAGCCACCAATCCGCTGCTGAGCAGAGACATAATCCACCAATCACAGTAGGCTTAACGAGTTACTGAGTAAAGCGTTACTGCCCAACACTGCTGACTGGCAATTAGATTTGAATTCTGCACCTGTACTGTGACAATATCAGAGCATATTTTGTTTAAATTAAAGCAGCTTTATTGGTAAGTCGGTTAACATACAAAGAATTTGTTTTGGTGTATTGTTGCTTAACAACATAGTAGATAAATATAAGACAGATAAAGACAGAGGAAATACTGCAGATCAAGATCCATAAAATTGATAATAAGATACAAAAAAGGTTAAACAATAATAAAGAGTGTCAACAATCCTTCTCATATTGAGTCTTACATTAATATCAAAGATTCGTATTTTTCTAAAATGGAGTAATATAATTGTACAATTTGCTACAAAACCTCAAATTTAATATAATGTTACAGCATTCAATTAGATTTGATTAAGAAATCTATTATTTCGTTTGAGTATGTACCCAGTAAATTAAAGCCATGAAAAAGGTAGTATCCCCTCTGTTGTTTGTACATGTGTGTTTGTGTGTCTATTTCATTGCTGCCTTTGTGTCCCACAAAGCCCCACTAACTGCCAAGTAAACCCAAAATTAGGCTTCAAAAAAACGGAGGGTAAAGATGAGGACTCCCAGCAGCAGACTCATACAGCCGGCGTCACTGGCAGTTGTTGTAACAGCATTACACAAACTGGTCCCACAGCAGGAGGGTGTACTGATGTTACCAAAACCTTGCAAGAGAGGTAGGCTACTCAGGTTGGCACCAAGTGCACACAGGTTTGCAGATGCACAACCAGAGAATGGAGAAGTATTGCCTCCAATTGTCACTGAAGATAAAAAAAAACAATGTTTTACTATAGATACATTATTTTTTGTTAAGTAACTTCAGGAAGTATTCAGATCCTTCACACAAGTAACAATGTCACGATGTACAATCACACCATTACATGTTTTTGGTCCTGATTCCCATCAAAGTCCTTTAATTGGCACGTATTACTTTCCTCTGTAAAATCTGTCCTTTCATTGGGTAACTCCAACAAGTATCGCACTATGTGACATTACAGTAATTTAGGTGAGGCTCAAATAAAGACCTGTATAAAGTTACGATTGCTTTGAATGGAAGAAAATGTCTCAATTTGAAAAATAACATATTTGGAAATTTTTTTCATCAGTTCATAAACACATCGATATGTATCCCAGGAATTTGGTGGACTTCACTCTCTCAATAGCTCTACCATTTATTTTGACACAAACATGGTCAATGTTATTTCAATTTCTATTCGAATGGAAGATTTTGTAATTTGTTTTGTTTGTATTTAAAGGTAACTGCATGCATTAAAGTCATGTATCCACCATAGTCATTTTGAAGGTTGCTGAGAAGAATTTCAAAGTCAATAGTGTCAAATGCTTTTGATAAATCAAGGAAGATTCCAACTCCGCAGTCACCTCCATCAATAGCGAGACTCGTCATACATGTGGTGTTATATTTTCTAAAGTACTGTAATGGGACAAGAATATTAGTTTTTTTGATTAGATTACTAAACAATTCTTTCCTGTACCTTGGAGAGGGTAGGCAATATAGACACAAGTCGGCAGTTGAACATGTTATTTTTATTACCTCACTTAAAGAGCGGTTAAAGTCTTTAACTGATCACACAAATTTTCTTTGCATTTGCAGCAAAATGCTCGAAGTGTAGAGCCAAGCTGTGGTACAGGAGCGCAGCACTGCAACAACAGAGCAGGCTGAAGCGCCAAAACACAGAAGTGTTCAGTAAAGAAAGGATGGGATTTTGATCTGTGTTACTTTAGTCGATTCATTCAAATTTACACGGTTAAGCATTTACGAGACACTTGGCTCACGAGACGAGACACGTGATTGGGTTCACGAGAACGAGACGAGATTTTAACGCTATTTTTAAGAACTCTCCAATGCTGAATTATATGAAAATTCACTAAGAACACTTCATTTCCTGTGTTCTGGTGAATTTTTCAGAACCAATGTATGGTGGAAATGTTTTTATTTATGTAAAAGAAACAAAATTTAGGTGGCAGGTGACAATTCAAAATTTAAAACCATGACAGAATATAATGCAGTGCCGCTCTCAGGCAAGGGGGCGTTTCCCCTTTGGCTCGGTTCGTTTGGTAATATGTGAACACAACAATCACACTCTGAACAGGAACAAAACAACGACCTGAGATAGCTCAGAAGAGGTGGGCCCAATCCCAATGTCCCCCCTAAGCCCTGAACCCTGTCAGACTTTACCGACGTCACTTGGAAAGCGATTGAGTGCAAGAGGCTGTGAGGGCTCAAAATGCTGTAAACAGGAACGGGACAGCCCTTTGCCACTTTATCACGTTACCTTGACGACGCTGAAACACGTTGCACACTTTTTATTTTATGTTTTTGCCTTATTTTTAAGTCCTGCAGGCTCTTGTCCTACAGAGTGGAGGAGAGGTAGCCTAAATGTCAATATATATTTGTAATTAATTAATACACTATAGTCAAACAGCATCACCAAGCAAAAACTAAAATAAACAGTTGAATAAACTAAGTGTGTCATATGATGGTTGCATTCCTCTGACTTAATGTGTTCTATGCAGCATCTTAAGTTAAGAAAACTTTAAACCATTTTGACATCAGCGTTGGTGTCTATGCTTGTTCGTTTACTATTTTCTTCTTCTCTTAATAGCGGATTTGCCGTGATATTTCTCTCGCTTCCTGGCTTCCCCAGGTAACCCCATACGAGCCAGATCCCAATGTCCCCGCTCACACACTCACAGACTTTGAGGCGCGTTCCCGGGAAGTCCGTGAGGGCTCAGGGCCGTCCCACTGTCAAATCGTCAAGTGCGCGAGGGCTCTCTCGCGGACATTTTGAGCCCTTTATAGACCCTTTTCGTAAGTCCGCATTTCTGCAGACTTTGGCTGAGGGAATTGTCCACAGCTCATAGCGGTATGACGTAAAACACGGGGTTACCAGGGGAAGCCCGGAAGCGAGAGAAATATCACGGCAAATCCGCTATTAAGAGAAGAAGAAATCAGTTCACAAACCGGCACAGCGCAATGGGGCGGTGGAGCATACAGGGCCAGGAGATCGATGGTGATGCTTTACAATAATGCGGTGTGAACACATGTGATGTATTCAAATTTAATTCAAAGTTCCGGGAACAAAATAAAAAGGTCCAGGTGTGAAAGCATCCTTATATTAGTACTACTTTACCTACTGTGGGCTTGTTGGATCTATAACGTTCTTGTAAAATAATCTGTCATAAAATCTTAATCTGTAAAGTAACTGGCCACAATAGCTGTCATACAAATGTAGTTCAGTGAAAGTACAATAATTACCTCTGAAATGTAATTAATTAGATGTATAACATAAAATATAACAAAAATTTAAGTAAAAGTACAAATATCTCAACTTTTTCCACACCTCGCAATTACCTCACAACCCATGTGGAGACAAACTATGTTCAATTATTTATCAGAAAGACTCACCATTCAATTTAAAGCAGCGGTCCTCCACTCCCTTACATTGTAATTGAGATGAGTTGCAGTGAGAAATGAGGGGGTCACAAGTGAAACACTTTAGGCTGTTTGGCTGAGGAACAGGCTCTGAAACAGAAAAGAACATCATCATTCATTTGAGGAAGAGAAAACATTTGTGTCACAAAGTGAAAGTAGAACGCAGGATGCCAGCGTCCTTTGTTCTGTTTTTTATTTTGTCTCTTAAATTAAATGAGCTACTTATCAATTTGGACTTACTAGGTACATTGTCTGCGTTGCAGTTATCTGTGTTGCAGCACTGAAGAGATGCAACTATCTGCACAAGACCCGCGTTAAATGAAAATGCCTGAGAGCCTGTAGCTGGACACACGGAGGATGGTGCACACGCCTTGATGATTTGCGGGACTGTAACTCCAAATGAAGGGGCTACAAAATCAAAGTGCAGTTTGTTAATGTTGGAAGTCAGAACACATAACTGGCATTAAATTTATTTCACTGAAAAGTAAGAGATCACATGAAGAAAACATTACTTTGAATCAAAGCTGTTGTACACATGGTCTCTGAAGAACATGTTGATGTTACTGTGGTTGAACAGTCTGGATTTGTGCAGCGTAGACACTGAAGGGCTCCAGCTGCAATGGGGAGAAAAACTGTCAACTCAGTGATCACATCACAAGTCAAATGTCAAATCAAACGTCTGATGAGTTTAGGGTTACAGGTTTTGATGATCTATAAATGTTGAAACATGTTTTTCTTCTTGTTGTGCAGAAGCATTTAAAAAGACACAATGGCTGTTACAAACAGTAGTTCTTTCCAATCTTTTTTCAGTAGGATCAATAAAGTCTAAAAGTTTCGGATCTGGTTAATTTAAAAATAATAATCTGTTAATATTAAGATTTTTAATCTTTTCAATAAAAAAAAGCTTTCAGACAAAATTAACGTCTTCAAACCTTTAAATTTTGCTCCCTGCAGAAACTCTAATGTGATAATCAGTGGAGTTACCTGTGCTGGAGAGCGCCCAGATGAGAGTCAGAGAAAGGATCAGCTTCATCATGATGATCAGGTAAGTACTGTGGATCAGTTTTCTGTGGTGATGTTGATACTGCACCTTTTATATATACTGCACAGATGTTGAATACATGCATACATCATGGATCGGGTGTTCCCATTTTAACAGCGTAATCATTTCAAGAAAACCCTGTTGGCTTTTTCCGGGTTACAAAATTTAAATATTGCATGTCATGAAGATGACAGGATGACAAAGTTGTTATCAAATCTGAGTGTGGCTTAAATGCAGTTTGTTAATGTATTTCACTGAAAAGTACTAGACTTTTAAAGAAATTACTACCTTGAATGGAAGCTGACATCTTAATGCCACAGCAATTCATTTAACAATATTTTTGATAATATCCTATGAAGTATGTGTTTTTACTTATAAGACTGACAGAAACCATTCTGCATAAAGAGTTTCATACTTTCACGTTTGATACTGAAGTACATAATGATGATAATACTTTTAGTAAATCTTTTAAATTTAATATTTGGCAGTGTTGGAAGAGGTAGTCTTGGTTTACTTTGGGATATGCAATTCTAATCCAATACACTTTTTCTGCCTCGGGTTTACAGAGCTTGGGGACTGCTGGCTCTGCCTGCGCTCTGGGGAGGATGCCTCCGGCTGGGCTGGGGGTCTGTCGGCCCTGGTTTTCCCGCGTTATCGCTCCCTGGCAGCGGGGAGTTCCTCGGCACGGCTCTCTGCTGTTCTCCCTTGGGGCGGGGCGCAGCTCTCCCAGGGACATGTGGTCTGGGGTCCTTTGCGCTTTGGGGAGTCGCAGGGTGCCCTGGCTACTGGGGTTGGGGGTGTCTGGGCGCAGCGCGGGTCGGTCTGATTGTGGGGCGATTGTAGATGCATCTTGATGTCTTGTTTTTTTTTTTTCTCTGGGGGGCTGCTGCCTCAGATCCGTGCTCCCCTGTTTCTCTGTCGACCGGTTGTCGGACCCCTCTGGAGACTGAGGTAGTTGGTTGTCTGGATGCGCAGGGTGTGTGCGTGGTGTGTCCCGGCCCTTGACGGGTGGGTGGGCGGTGACATGCAGCTGGGCTAGTTGATTTTGCCTCGTTGCTGGTTTGGCTGGCGTTACACGGCGGCTGGAGGGTGTGCTGTGCATGGAAGATGTTGCTAGTGTTGTTCTCTCCTGGCTTTCGCCGTTGTGTTCTGCCACTTGCTCTCTCATTTGCTCGGCCTCGCGCGCGGGATACACGGGGTGCTGCCGGGCGGTGGGTGCCGCTGTGCTCGTGCGGGTTGGGGTTGCGCGCTGATGTTGATTGCGTGGCATTTTGTCGGTTTGGTTGCCCGTTCCGCGGCCGGTCGCGGGGTGGCACTGGCCTCTGTTGTGTGCGCGCCGCGGTCAGTCTCTTCTGCGGGTTCCGCCTTTTGCTTTCCAACGGCATGGCGTTGTCAATTGGCATTTGGATGGCCGGTGTCTTTGGCAATTGTTGGTCGGGTCGGGGTCTTCTGCGTTCGCGTCACGGTTCGTCACCCCTATTGGCTACTGGGGGTCTTGCCTGCCTGTCGCTGTAGACGGTGTGGCGCGGTTGTGGCATCCCACTCTCACTATGAACTACATTCTGTAACAGGCTTATGTACACAAACATATACGTACACATACAGACACACTCACCCCCACGCACTCAGACACATACGGTCTCACATATAGACACATATAAAAACAAAGGTTCTCCCTGGTAGAATTATTCTTGATGTTTTTTATTCAGTTACTTCTTCATGTGGTGTTTCTATTCCCCATCCCCATGTCTGTCCCCTGTCTGGCCTGGTGACAAATAGTATATTAATACTCTCTTGTTAAAGTAAAATCTGTCTGGCACAATATGGTATCCAGCTCCTCATTCTCATACCAGGCTGCCGGGCAGGACAGGTTAAAAACAATAAAATAATTCCTGCATTCTGGAGACATTTTCTGCTCCAATTTACAGTGGAAATGTCTTTATTTATATAAAGGGAAACAAGATTCAGATGGCAGGTGACAATTCATAAATATAAAAATATATAACAGAATATGATGTAAAATAACAGCAGTTTTTTTGTAGCTTAAATTACTTTTTTTGGATGATGCACATTTTGTAAATTCTATATTTAAAATGCATTGCATGTTTTGTTATTGTGCAAACAAACCTTTTATTTGTTAGTTAATATTCAAGTTGCCACAGGAGCACAGAGGAATGTGAAGAGAAGAACCAAAATACAATAAAGGTATTAGATTTCTTTTTTACTTGGTCTGTTTAAAATCGTATTTGTTTGCAGATCTGCGTGCAGAGGCGCATAAATTCCCTCAGCACCTTGTCTCACTTTCTCCCGCATCTCTCATGAACACCGCTGCAGAAATCTGTCCAACACAATGCTGTCAGTGTCAGAGACGCACCTTAAAAAAAGTTATTAGCAAGCATGTAAGGAGCCTAGCAAATAAGGAGAGCTATGTTGACGTAAGCTGGGTTGTCGAGGTTAGCACGCAGTATATCTGGTAATCATATCGACTACACCCCAATACAACTTTCTGTCAATGGAGCTTCTACCAGGAGATTTTAGTGCACCTGCATGCTTCCATCTGCTGACAAGCTTTATGGAGATCGTGATTTCCTTTTCCACGGTGCCAAAATGACTAGTAACTGGTTAGCTGACCATGGTATTACTGTGCTTTATAGCCAACTTACCTGAACACCATATTGTCAAGAGGAAACTGAGAGACACCAAACAGTACAGACGAGCTGAAGGCCTCTATCAAAGCAACCTGGGCCTCCATAACACCTCAGCAGTTCCACAGGCTGATTGTCTCCATGTCACACCGCACTGATGCAGTAATTGTGCAAAAGGACACCACACGCAATGTCCACACATTCAGATGTGTAATCTCCCAACTTCACAAATTGTTTCCTGTCTTTTAAATAACTGCTTAACCAATTCAGCACTATCCTCCCTGATCACGAGCCTTTCCAGTTTATTTAGCCAATCATTTACCATCAGCTGGAACTGCAGCCACCAATCCGCTGCTGAGCAGAGACATAATCCACCAATCACAGTAGGCCTAACGAGTTACTGAGTAAAGCGTTACTGCCCAACACTGCTGACTGGCAATTAGATTTGAATTCTGCACCTGTACTGTGACAATATCAGAGCATATTTTGTTTAAATTAAAGCAGCTTTATTGGTAAGTCAGTTAACATACAAAGAATTTGTTTTGGTGTATTGTTGCTTAACAACATAGTAGATAAATATAAGACAGATAAAGACAGAGGAAATACTGCAGATCAAGATCCATAAAATTGATAATAAGATACAAAAAAGGTTAAACAATAATAAAGAGTGTCAACAATCCTTCTCATATTGAGTCTTACATTAATATCAAAGATTCGTATTTTTCTAAAATGGAGTAATATAATTGTACAATTTGCTACAAAACCTCAAATTTAATATAATGTTACAGCATTCAATTAGATTTGATTAAGAAAGCTATTATTTCGTTTGAGTATGTACCCAGTAAATTAAAGCCATGAAAAAGGTAGTATCCCCTCTGTTGTTTGTACATGTGTGTTTGTGTGTCTATTTCATTGCTGCCTTTGTGTCCCACAAAGCCCCACTAACTGCCAAGTAAACCCAAAATTAGGCTTCAAAAAAACGGAGGGTAAAGATGAGGACTCCCAGCAGCAGACTCATACAGCCGGCGTCACTGGCAGTTGTTGTAACAGCATTACACAAACTGGTCCCACAGCAGGAGGGTGTACTGATGTTACCAAAACCTTGCAAGAGAGGTAGGCTACTCAGGTTGGCACCAAGTGCACACAGGTTTGCAGATGCACAGCCAGAGAATGGAGAAGTATTGCCTCCATTCGTCACTAAAGATAAAAAAAAACAAAACAATGTTTTACTATAGATACATTACTTTTTTGTTAAGTAACTTCAGGAAGTATTCAGATCCTTCACACAAGTTAAAGTAACAATGTCACGATGTACAATCACACCATTACATGTTTTTGGTCCTGATTCCCATCAAAGTCCTTTAATTGGCACGTATTACTTTCCTCTGTAAAATCTGTCCTTTCATTGGGTAACTCCAACAAGTATCGCACTATGTGACATTACAGTAATTTAGGTGAGGCTCAAATAAAGACCTGTATAAAGTTATGATTGCTTTGAATGGAAGAAAATGTCTCAATTTGAAAAATAACATATTTAGAATTTTTTTCATCAGATCATAAACCCATCGATATGTATCCCAAAGAATTTGGTGGACTTCACTCTCTCAATAGCTCTACCATTTATTTTGACACAAACATGGTCAATGTTATTTCAATTTCTATTCGAATGGAAGATTTTGTCATTTGTTTTGTTTGTATTTAAAGGTAACTGCATGCATTAAAGTCATGTATCCACCATAGTCATTTTGAAGGTTGCTAAGAAGAATTTCAAAGTCAATAGTGTCAAATGCTTTTGATAAATCAAGGAAGATTCCAACTCCGCAGTCACCTTCATCAATAGCGAGACTCGTCATACATGTGGTGTTATATTTTCTAAAGTACTGTAATGGGACAAGAATATTAGATTTTTTGATTAGATTACTAAACAATTCTTTCCTGTACCTTGGAGAGGGTAGGCAATATAGACACAAGTCGGCAGTTGAACATGTTATTTTTATTACCTCACTTAAAGAGCGGTTAAAGTCTTTAACTGATCACACAAATTTTCTTTGCATTTGCAGCAAAATGCTCGAAGTGTAGAGCCAAGCTGTGGTACAGGAGCGCAGCACTGCAACAACAGAGCAGGCTGAAGCGCCAAAACACAGAAGTGTTCAGTAAAGAAAGGATGGGATTTTGATCTGTGTTACTTTAGTCGATTCATTCAAATTTACACGGTTAAGCATTTACGAGACACTTGGCTCACGAGACGAGACACGTTATTGGGTTCACGAGAACGAGACGAGATTTTAACGCTATTTTTAAGAACTGTCCAATGCTGAATTATATGAAAATTCACTAAGAACACTTCATTTCCTGTGTTCTGGTGAATTTTTCAGAACCAATGTATGGTGGAAATGTTTTTATTTATGTAAAAGAAACAAAATTTAGGTGGCAGGTGACAATTCAAAATTTAAAACCATGACAGAATATAATGCAGTGCCGCTCTCAGGCAAGGGGGCGTTTCCCCTTTGGCTCGGTTCGTTTGGTAATATGTGAACACAACAATCACACTCTGAACAGGAACAAAACAACGACCTGAGATAGCTCAGAAGAGGTGGGCCCAATCCCAATGTCCCCCCTAAGCCCTGAACCCTGTCAGACTTTACCGACGTCACTTGGAAAGCGATTGAGTGCAAGAGGCTGTGAGGGCTCAAAATGCTGTAAACAGGAACGGGACAGCCCTTTGCCACTTTATCACGTTACCTTGACGACGCTGAAACACGTTGCACACTTTTTATTTTATGTTTTTGCCTTATTTTTAAGTCCTGCAGGCTCTTGTCCTACAGAGTGGAGGAGAGGTAGCCTAAATGTCAATATATTTGTAATTAATTAATACACTATAGTCAAACAGCATCACCAAGCAAAAACTAAAATAAACAGTTGAATAAACTAAGTGTGTCATATGATGGTTGCATTCCTCTGACTTAATGTGTTCTATGCAGCATCTTAAGTTAAGAAAACTTTAAACCATTTTGACATCAGCGTTGGTGTCTATGCTTGTTCGTTTACTATTTTCTTCTTCTCTTAATAGCGGATTTGCCGTGATATTTCTCTCGCTTCCTGGCTTCCCCAGGTAACCCCATACGAGCCAGATCCCAATGTCCCCGCTCACACACTCACAGACTTTGAGGCGCGTTCCCGGGAAGTCCGTGAGGGCTCAGGGCCGTCCCACTGTCAAATCGTCAAGTGCGCGAGGGCTCTCTCGCGGACATTTTGAGCCCTTTATAGACCCTTTTCGTAAGTCCGCATTTCTGCAGACTTTGGCTGAGGGAATTGTCCACAGCTCATAGCGGTATGACGTAAAACACGGGGTTACCAGGGGAAGCCCGGAAGCGAGAGAAATATCACGGCAAATCCGCTATTAAGAGAAGAAGAAATCAGTTCACAAACCGGCACAGCGCAATGGGGCGGTGGAGCATACAGGGCCAGGAGATCGATGGTGATGCTTTACAATAATGCGGTGTGAACACATGTGATGTATTCAAATTTAATTCAAAGTATCTGTTCCGGGAACAAAATAAAAAGGTCCAGGTGTGAAAGCATCCTTATATTAGTACTACTTTACCTACTGTGGGCTTGGTGGATCTATAACGTTCTTGTAAAATAATCTGTCATAAAATCTTAATCTGTAAAGTAACTGGCCACAATAGCTGTCATACAAATGTAGTTCAGTGAAAGTACAATAATTACCTCTGAAATGTAATTAATTAGATGTATAACATAAAATATAACAAAAATTTAAGTAAAAGTACAAATATCTCAACTTTTTCCACACCTCGCAATTACCTCACAACCCATGTGGAGACAAACTATGTTCAATTATTTATCAGAAAGACTCACCATTCAATTTAAAGCAGCGGTCCTCCACTCCCTTACATTGTAATTGAGATGAGTTGCAGTGAGAAATGAGGGGGTCACAAGTGAAACACTTTAGGCTGTTTGGCTGAGGAACAGGCTCTGAAACAGAAAAGAACATCATCATTCATTTGAGGAAGAGAAAACATTTGTGTCACAAAGTGAAAGTAGAACGCAGGATGCCAGCGTTCTTTGTTCTGTTTTTATTTTGTCTCTTAAATTAAATGAGCTACTTATCAATTTGGACTTACTAGGTACATTGTCTGTGTTGCAGTTATCTGTGTTGCAGCACTGAAGAGATGCAACTATCTGCACAAGACCCGCGTTGAATGAAAATGCCTGAGAGCCTGTAGCTGGACACACGGAGGATGGTGCACACGCCTTGATGATTTGCGGGACTGTAACTCCAAATGAAGGGGCTACAAAATCAAAGTGCAGTTTGTTAATGTTGGAAGTCAGAACACATAACTGGCATTAAATTTATTTCACTGAAAAGTAAGAGATCACATGAAGAAAACATTACTTTGAATCAAAGCTGTTGTACACATGGTCTCTGAAGAACATGTTGATGTTACTGTGGTTGAACAGTCTGGATTTGTGCAGCGTAGACACTGAAGGGCTCCAGCTGCAATGGGGAGAAAAACTGTCAACTCAGTGATCACATCACAAGTCAAATGTCAAATCAAACGTCTGATGAGTTTAGGGTTACAGGTTTTGATGATCTATAAATGTTGAAACATGTTTTTCTTCTTGTTGTGCAGAAGCATTTAAAAAGACACAATGGCTGTTACAAACAGTAGTTCTTTCCAATCTTTTTTCAGTAGGATCAATAAAGTCTAAAAGTTTCGGTTCTGGTTAATTTAAAAATAATAATCTGTTAATATTTTGAATCTTTTCAACAACAAAAAAAAAGCTTTCAGGCAAAATTAACGTCTTCAAACCTTTAAATTTTGCTCCCTGCAGAAACTCTAATGTGATAATCAGTGGAGTTACCTGTGCTGGAGAGCGCCCAGATGAGAGTCAGAGAAAGGATCAGCTTCATCATGATGATCAGGTAAGTACTGTGGATCAGTTTTCTGTGGTGATGTTGATACTGCACCTTTTATATATACTGCACAGATGTTGAATACATGCATACATCATGGATCGGGTGTTCCCATTTTAACAGCGTAATCATTTCAAGAAAACCCTGTTGGCTTTTTCCGGGTTACAAAATTTAAATATTGCATGTCATGAAGATGACAGGATGACAAAGTTGTTATCAAATCTGAGTGTGGCTTAAATGCAGTTTGTTAATGTATTTCACTGAAAAGTACTAGACTTTTAAAGAAATTACTACCTTGAATGGAAGCTGACATCTTAATGCCACAGCAATTCATTTAACAATATTTTTGATAATATCCTATGAAGTATGTGTTTTTTACTTATAAGACTGACAGAAACCATTCTGCATAAAGAGTTTCATACTTTCACGTTTGATACTGAAGTACATAATGATGATAATACTTTTAGTAAATCTTTTAAATTTAATATTTGGCAGTGTTGGAAGAGGTAGTCTTGGTTTACTTTGGGATATGCAATTCTAATCCAATACACTTTTTCTGCCTCGGGTTTACAGAGCTTGGGGACTGCTGGCTCTGCCTGCGCTCTGGGGAGGATGCCTCCGGCTGGGCTGGGGGTCTGTCGGCCCTGGTTTTCCCGCGTTATCGCTCCCTGGCAGCGGGGAGTTCCTCGGCACGGCTCTCTGCTGTTCTCCCTTGGGGCGGGGCGCAGCTCTCCCAGGGACATGTGGTCTGGGGTCCTTTGCGCTTTGGGGAGTCGCAGGGTGCCCTGGCTACTGGGGTTGGGGGTGTCTGGGCGCAGCGCGGGTCGGTCTGATTGTGGGGCGATTGTAGATGCATCTTGATGTCTTGTTTTTTTTTTTTCTCTGGGGGGCTGCTGCCTCAGATCCGTGCTCCCCTGTTTCTCTGTCGACCGGTTGTCGGACCCCTCTGGAGACTGAGGTAGTTGGTTGTCTGGATGCGCAGGGTGTGTGCGTGGTGTGTCCCGGCCCTTGACGGGTGGGTGGGCGGTGACATGCAGCTGGGCTAGTTGATTTTGCCTCGTTGCTGGTTTGGCTGGCGTTACACGGCGGCTGGAGGGTGTGCTGTGCATGGAAGATGTTGCTAGTGTTGTTCTCTCCTGGCTTTCGCCGTTGTGTTCTGCCACTTGCTCTCTCATTTGCTCGGCCTCGCGCGCGGGATACACGGGGTGCTGCCGGGCGGTGGGTGCCGCTGTGCTCGTGCGGGTTGGGGTTGCGCGCTGATGTTGATTGCGTGGCATTTTGTCGGTTTGGTTGCCCGTTCCGCGGCCGGTCGCGGGGTGGCACTGGCCTCTGTTGTGTGCGCGCCGCGGTCAGTCTCTTCTGCGGGTTCCGCCTTTTGCTTTCCAACGGCATGGCGTTGTCAATTGGCATTTGGATGGCCGGTGTCTTTGGCAATTGTTGGTCGGGTCGGGGTCTTCTGCGTTCGCGTCACGGTTCGTCACCCCTATTGGCTACTGGGGGTCTTGCCTGCCTGTCGCTGTAGACGGTGTGGCGCGGTTGTGGCATCCCACTCTCACTATGAACTACATTCTGTAACAGGCTTATGTACACAAACATATACGTACACATACAGACACACTCACCCCCACGCACTCAGACACATACGGTCTCACATATAGACACATATAAAAACAAAGGTTCTCCCTGGTAGAATTATTCTTGATGTTTTTTATTCAGTTACATCTTCATGTGGTGTTTCTATTCCCCATCCCCATGTCTGTCCCCTGTCTGGCCTGGTGACAAATAGTATATTAATACTCTCTTGTTAAAGTAAAATCTGTCTGGCACAATATGGTATCCAGCTCCTCATTCTCATACCAGGCTGCCGGGCAGGACAGGTTAAAAACAATAAAATAATTCCTGCATTCTGGAGACATTTTCTGCTCCAATTTACAGTGGAAATGTCTTTATTTATATAAAGGGAAACAAGATTCAGATGGCAGGTGACAATTCATAAATATAAAAATATATAACAGAATATGATGTAAAATAACAGCAGTTTTTTTGTAGCTTAAATTACTTTTTTTGGATGATGCACATTTTGTAAATTCTATATTTAAAATGCATTGCATGTTTTGTTATTGTGCAAACAAACCTTTTATTTGTTAGTTAATATTCAAGTTGCCACAGGAGCACAGAGGAATGTGAAGAGAAGAACCAAAATACAATAAAGGTATTAGATTTCTTTTTTACTTGGTCTGTTTAAAATCGTATTTGTTTGCAGATCTGCGTGCAGAGGCGCATAAATTCCCTCAGCACCTTGTCTCACTTTCTCCCGCATCTCTCATGAACACCGCTGCAGAAATCTGTCCAACACAATGCTGTCAGTGTCAGAGACGCACCTTAAAAAAAGTTATTAGCAAGCATGTAAGGAGCCTAGCAAATAAGGAGAGCTATGTTGACGTAAGCTGGGTTGTCGAGGTTAGCACGCAGTATATCTGGTAATCATATCGACTACACCCCAATACAACTTTCTGTCAATGGAGCTTCTACCAGGAGATTTTAGTGCACCTGCATGCTTCCATCTGCTGACAAGCTTTATGGAGATCGTGATTTCCTTTTCCACGGTGCCAAAATGACTAGTAACTGGTTAGCTGACCATGGTATTACTGTGCTTTATAGCCAACTTACCTGAACACCATATTGTCAAGAGGAAACTGAGAGACACCAAACAGTACAGACGAGCTGAAGGCCTCTATCAAAGCAACCTGGGCCTCCATAACACCTCAGCAGTTCCACAGGCTGATTGTCTCCATGTCACACCGCACTGATGCAGTAATTGTGCAAAAGGACACCACACGCAATGTCCACACATTCAGATGTGTAATCTCCCAACTTCACAAATTGTTTCCTGTCTTTTAAATAACTGCTTAACCAATTCAGCACTATCCTCCCTGATCACGAGCCTTTCCAGTTTATTTAGCCAATCATTTACCATCAGCTGGAACTGCAGCCACCAATCCGCTGCTGAGCAGAGACATAATCCACCAATCACAGTAGGCCTAACGAGTTACTGAGTAAAGCGTTACTGCCCAACACTGCTGACTGGCAATTAGATTTGAATTCTGCACCTGTACTGTGACAATATCAGAGCATATTTTGTTTAAATTAAAGCAGCTTTATTGGTAAGTCAGTTAACATACAAAGAATTTGTTTTGGTGTATTGTTGCTTAACAACATAGTAGATAAATATAAGACAGATAAAGACAGAGGAAATACTGCAGATCAAGATCCATAAAATTGATAATAAGATACAAAAAAGGTTAAACAATAATAAAGAGTGTCAACAATCCTTCTCATATTGAGTCTTACATTAATATCAAAGATTCGTATTTTTCTAAAATGGAGTAATATAATTGTACAATTTGCTACAAAACCTCAAATTTAATATAATGTTACAGCATTCAATTAGATTTGATTAAGAAAGCTATTATTTCGTTTGAGTATGTACCCAGTAAATTAAAGCCATGAAAAAGGTAGTATCCCCTCTGTTGTTTGTACATGTGTGTTTGTGTGTCTATTTCATTGCTGCCTTTGTGTCCCACAAAGCCCCACTAACTGCCAAGTAAACCCAAAATTAGGCTTCAAAAAAACGGAGGGTAAAGATGAGGACTCCCAGCAGCAGACTCATACAGCCGGCGTCACTGGCAGTTGTTGTAACAGCATTACACAAACTGGTCCCACAGCAGGAGGGTGTACTGATGTTACCAAAACCTTGCAAGAGAGGTAGGCTACTCAGGTTGGCACCAAGTGCACACAGGTTTGCAGATGCACAGCCAGAGAATGGAGAAGTATTGCCTCCATTCGTCACTAAAGATAAAAAAAAAAACAATGTTTTACTATAGATACATTATTTTTTGTTAAGTAACTTCAGGAAGTATTCAGATCCTTCACACAAGTTAAAGTAACAATGTCACGATGTACAATCACACCATTACATGTTTTTGGTCCTGATTCCCATCAAAGTCCTTTAATTGGCACGTATTACTTTCCTCTGTAAAATCTGTCCTTTCATTGGGTAACTCCAACAAGTATCGCACTATGTGACATTACAGTAATTTAGGTGAGGCTCAAATAAAGACCTGTATAAAGTTATGATTGCTTTGAATGGAAGAAAATGTCTCAATTTGAAAAATAACATATTTAGAATTTTTTCATCAGATCATAAACACATCGATATGTATCCCAAAGAATTTGGTGGACTTCACTCTCTCAATAGCTCTACCATTTATTTTGACACAAACATGGTCAATGTTATTTCAATTTCTATTCGAATGGAAGATTTTGTAATTTGTTTTGTTTGTATTTAAAGGTAACTGCATGCATTAAAGTCATGTATCCACCATAGTCATTTTGAAGGTTGCTGAGAAGAATTTCAAAGTCAATAGTGTCAAATGCTTTTGATAAATCAAGGAAGATTCCAACTCCGCAGTCACCTTCATCAATAGCGAGACTCGTCATACATGTGGTGTTATATTTTCTAAAGTACTGTAATGGGACAAGAATATTAGATTTTTTGATTAGATTACTAAACAATTCTTTCCTGTACCTTGGAGAGGGTAGGCAATATAGACACAAGTCGGCAGTTGAACATGTTATTTTTATTACCTCACTTAAAGAGCGGTTAAAGTCTTTAACTGATCACACAAATTTTCTTTGCATTTGCAGCAAAATGCTCGAAGTGTAGAGCCAAGCTGTGGTACAGGAGCGCAGCACTGCAACAACAGAGCAGGCTGAAGCGCCAAAACACAGAAGTGTTCAGTAAAGAAAGGATGGGATTTTGATCTGCGTTACTTTAGTCGATTCATTAAAATTTACATGGTTAAGCACTTACGAGACACTTGACTCACGAGAGGAGACACGTGATTGGGTTCACGAGAGCGAGACGAGATTTTAACGCTATTTTTTAAGAACTCTCCAATGCTGAATTATATGAAAATTCACAAAGAACACTTCATTTCCTGTGTTCTGGTGAATTTTTCAGCACCAATGTATGGTGGAAATGTTTTTATCTATGTAAAAGAAACAAAATTTAGGTGGCAGGTGACAATTCAAAATTTAAAACCATGACAGAATATAATGCAGTGCCGCTCTCAGGCAAGGGGGCGTTTCCCCTTTGGCTCGGTTCGTTTGGTAATATGTGAACACAACAATCACACTCTGAACAGGAACAAAACAACGACCTGAGATAGCTCAGAAGAGGTGGGCCCAATCCCAATGTCCCCCCTAAGCCCTGAACCCTGTCAGACTTTACCGACGTCACTTGGAAAGCGATTGAGTGCAAGAGGCTGTGAGGGCTCAAAATGCTGTAAACAGGAACGGGACAGCCCTTTGCCACTTTATCACGTTACCTTGACGACGCTGAAACACGTTGCACACTTTTTATTTTATGTTTTTGCCTTATTTTTAAGTCCTGCAGGCTCTTGTCCTACAGAGTGGAGGAGAGGTAGCCTAAATGTCAATATATTTGTAATTAATTAATACACTATAGTCAAACAGCATCACCAAGCAAAAACTAAAATAAACAGTTGAATAAACTAAGTGTGTCATATGATGGTTGCATTCCTCTGACTTAATGTGTTCTATGCAGCATCTTAAGTTAAGAAAACTTTAAACCATTTTGACATCAGCGTTGGTGTCTATGCTTGTTCGTTTACTATTTTCTTCTTCTCTTAATAGCGGATTTGCCGTGATATTTCTCTCGCTTCCTGGCTTCCCCAGGTAACCCCATACGAGCCAGATCCCAATGTCCCCGCTCACACACTCACAGACTTTGAGGCGCGTTCCCGGGAAGTCCGTGAGGGCTCAGGGCCGTCCCACTGTCAAATCGTCAAGTGCGCGAGGGCTCTCTCGCGGACATTTTGAGCCCTTTATAGACCCTTTTCGTAAGTCCGCATTTCTGCAGACTTTGGCTGAGGGAATTGTCCACAGCTCATAGCGGTATGACGTAAAACACGGGGTTACCAGGGGAAGCCCGGAAGCGAGAGAAATATCACGGCAAATCCGCTATTAAGAGAAGAAGAAATCAGTTCACAAACCGGCACAGCGCAATGGGGCGGTGGAGCATACAGGGCCAGGAGATCGATGGTGATGCTTTACAATAATGCGGTGTGAACACATGTGATGTATTCAAATTTAATTCAAAGTTCCGGGAACAAAATAAAAAGGTCCAGGTGTGAAAGCATCCTTATATTAGTACTACTTTACCTACTGTGGGCTTGTGGATCTATAACGTTCTTGTAAAATAATCTGTCATAAAATCTTAATCTGTAAAGTAACTGGCCACAATAGCTGTCATACAAATGTAGTTCAGTGAAAGTACAATAATTACCTCTGAAATGTAATTAATTAGATGTATAACATAAAATATAACAAAAATTTAAGTAAAAGTACAAATATCTCAACTTTTTCCACACCTCGCAATTACCTCACAACCCATGTGGAGACAAAATATGTTCAATTATTTATCAGAAAGACTCACCATTCAATTTAAAGCAGCGGTCCTCCACTCCCTTACATTGTAATTGAGATGAGTTGCAGTGAGAAATGAGGGGGTCACAAGTGAAACACTTTAGGCTGTTTGGCTGAGGAACAGGCTCTGAAACAGAAAAGAACATCATCATTCATTTGAGGAAGAGAAAACATTTGTGTCACAAAGTGAAAGTAGAACGCAGGATGCCAGCGTTCTTTGTTCTGTTTTTTATTTTGTCTCTTAAATTAAATGAGCTACTTATCAATTTGGACTTACTAGGTACATTGTCTGTGTTGCAGTTATCTGTGTTGCAGCACTGAAGAGATGCAACTATCTGCACAAGACCCGCGTTAAATGAAAATGCCTGAGAGCCTGTAGCTGGACACACGGAGGATGGTGCACACGCCTTGATGATTTGCGGGACTGTAACTCCAAATGAAGGGGCTACAAAATCAAAGTGCAGTTTGTTAATGTTGGAAGTCAGAACACATAACTGGCATTAAATTTATTTCACTGAAAAGTAAGAGATCACATGAAGAAAACATTACTTTGAATCGAAGCTGTTGTACACATGGTCTCTGAAGAACATGTTAATGATGGTGGGTTTGTACACTGATCATTTTGGCAGCGTAGACACTGAAGGGCTCCAGCTGCAATGGGGAGAAAAATTGACAACTCAGTGATCACATCACAAGTCAAATGAAACGTCTGATGAGTTTAGGGTTACAGGTTTTGATGATCTATAAATGTTGAAACATGTTTTTCTTCTTGTTGTGCAGAAGCATTTAAAAAGACACAATGGCTGTTACAAACAGTAGTTCTTTCCAATCTTTTTTCAGTAGGATCAATAAAGTCTAAAAGTTTTGGATCTGGTTAATTTAAAAATAATGATCTGTTAATATTAAGATTTTTAATCTTTTCAATAAAAAAAAGCTTTCGGACAAAATTAACGTCTTCAAACCTTTAAATTTTGCTTCCTGCAGAAACTCTAATGTGATAATAAGTGGAGTTACCTGTGCTGGAGAGCGCCCAGATGAGAGTCAGAGAAAGGATCAGCTTCATCATGATGATCAGGTAAGTACTGTGGATCAGTGTTCCGTGATGATAATACTGCACCTTTTATATACACCGCACAAATGAGGAAAACATGCATACCTCAGGGATTGGGTGTTCCCATTTAGGGTTAAAAGAGAAACACTAAGCTTTATCCGGGTTACACAATTAAACAGAGCTTGTCAGAAGATGACAGGATGCCAAAGTTTTTAGCAAATCTAGGTGTGTCTTGAATGCAGTTTGTTAATGTATTACTAGAAATACAGGATGACTTTAAAAGAAATTACTTCCTTGAAGATCCGTGCATGACGTGTAATTCATATGCTGTTGTTCACATTTTATAATGAAAACCAGTTTAGGGGGTATTTCCTAATTTTATTGTCCTACTTGCGCTAAAGCAAATGTTTATTGAACAGTGTGAGCTCATTTTTCCAGAGCCGATGCTGCGTAAACGATGTTAACACTATGTTGTGTTTTTGTCGCATTGAATGAAGACGTGCAATGCAATTAAGCGCACCAAAGCGTCGGCTTGTTCCATTATCCAACTTACACAATGAAAATTGAACAAGAAAGACTAAACCACAAATATATCAAAATAAAATGTCCGAAGTTTTTGAACTAATTTTAAGGATAGCTAAACTTAATAAACAAATAGTGTAGCCTAAATGTTAAATATACTTGTCGTATTTCTGCCTCACATTATTACTCATTTATGCCTATGTAATGATTCAATTGTCTAACTTATAAATCAATTTATTTATTTGATTAAGGCTACTTAGGCTAATCTGTTCCTTTGGGTGAACATTAAAGGCTATACATAGTGTTATGACCAAGCGTCAGACTTCCAGAAGACCAAAAACCTGTAATACATCGAGTGGCCACTTGAGTCTGGCTGCAGGAGGGATTCAATCTCCATTGACCCCCATGTTAAAATGCCCAACTTTACAGCAGAATAAAACATGTATACAGCCTGGTTCAAAAAAGTTTATATTGCTAATTGAGTTTTTTTTATAACTCACCTGTTTAAATTATATTAAGCTATAAAGTTCTGCATTATTAGGGGTGTGGCCGCTTTGATTGACAGGCGGCTCTGGTCGCTGTCACTCCTAGCTGAGTGACTGCTGTCTGTTGGCCTCACTCAGCTATACACAGACATGGGCGCCGTATGGGGGGGGGAGTTAGGACAATTCAAAGGGCCCCTGACTGACAGGGGCCCCAAAAAATAATTATCAACTAATATCAAATTATATTATACATTATATAAACCATCATCACTGAGTATAAATATATTTTAAATATAAGAATAAAATGAATGATCTTTGTTTTTGCTTGTTTTTGGCAAAACAAAAATTGACCAAAAAGTAAACCTCCATATTGACCGACCACCCCCCTGTATCTACATGAAATGGTTTGGTCCTGCTTTAGCACACTGGCTGTGTCATTAACTACTCCTTGCCCCCTATGTAGGGAGTTGTATGTAGAACACTAGGGAGCTCACTTGCATTATTAAAACACTTTTGGACACTACACCGATCGTTATTTTGGCGTGGTTGATTACATCATTGCCGTCGGACAATCATTTTTTTCTATCAGCAATGCATGATGTATGTAGGGCTTGGTTAGTGACCATCGGTTGTACACTACTTTTCTAAATGCATTCTGGGATACACTGAGTGGACTATATAGGGTATATAAATTCTCATTATACATTCGGACACCACTACAAAATGGCGAGGTAGTGGGTGATTTCGGACACAGCCACTGTATCAGTGACGGTGTTCAGATGCAGTCAGTAGATGCACCAGAAATACAGTGAACACAATGTTGCCTAGTAAACCAAAATCCGGTTTTCAAAAAAAGGAAAGAGAGAAAAGACAGAGAGGAAAGACAAAGGAAAGGTTGTCACTCTGTAACCCAGTTTTTCACCAAGAAAGGTGGGCGGCTTTTAGTCTGTGAGTGGTGTTAACCTGTTGGCTTAACGTCCACAGTGACATAAGCTAGCTAGCTACAGACTAGTGAATGTAAATGTAAATGCTCCGTACTTGTATAGCGCCTTTCTAGTCTTTTCAACCACTCAAAGCGCTTTTACAGTACATCTGCATTCACCAGTCACACACATTCATACACTGAGCCTAAGTGCTCAAACGGAAATTAACAGTCACACTCATTCATACACTGCCAGGGGCAAATCGGGGTTCGGTATCTTGCCCAAGGACACTTCGACACACAACCAGGGGGAGCCAGGGATTGAACCGCCGACCTTCCGATTAACGGCCAATTAAAATCACTGAATTGACCCTGCCTATATTTGGGACAGGCGTCCATATGGGACAGGCCTTTAATTCCTTTTGCACAAAACTAAAACTACTATGAAACAGTTTATTTATTTCAAAAACAATAACACTTGTATAAAAATCAAATGTCATTCATTTAGTCTAGCTCCGACAGACAGCTTATGAGCTTTTATTTTGAAGTAACATCAGGACAACAACACGGTGCAGGATGAGAGAAGTTAGCAGACAGAGAGCGATGGACTTCACATGATAGGATTCACAACTTGGATTCATTTTGATGAAAAGCTGTTTTGATTCTTTTGATCGGTGGACTCTTACAGACTAAAGGAATATATTAATCAAGGAATGGACATATTCGGGCTTAACGAGGCTTCAAAGGTAACAGGAGTAGCACTTTTTCCCCCCTTTCATCTCTTGTCCCAGGCAGGTTACACCTGTAAATCTTTAAGAATTAGACTTTGGGGCTTGTTGTTTCCCTTAAATGAACTGAACTATTGAATTGTGGAGAATCTAACCGATCCAAAGATGTGTAGCATGTTCATATGGACATATTGACCATATGTTTAAATAATAATATTTGGATTAACGATCTAAGCAGCTTAGAAGCAGCTAAAGAGGGTGACCCCGCGAGGTTTAGGAGGTTTTATACACCCAAAGAACTTCTATAAGAACTAGACCAGCTGTTAAATTGAGGGAGGCGTTTGTCAAAATGTGTTCCAACACCAGGCCAGTAAAGGAGATAGGCGGCTATTTGGGACTCTGCTATTAATTTACAGTATATTAAAATAATCCAGTTATATATGTTCATTTAGATTGAATTATGGACGTTAATGACATCTATAGATACAGACTTTATTATTCCCATCATGAAGGGTAATTTATTTGAGAAGCAAATAATGAACTGCATCCTGTATGCAGACTTGCATGTACAGAGCAGTAAATATTATGCTTATTAACTTATTTAACTACAGGAAGCCAGTCACTTGCAAGCCTTTAATTAGAGTTATGTAAAGCTTTTGATGGGACAGTTCAGTCTTAGAGAAGTGGTGACAATAGCTGCGCAGGGGGGGTCCAATTTGATTTTATTTGTCATGGGGCCCAAAATTCCTGGCGGCCACCCTGAATATAAATGCAACGTCCGGTTACACTTTCAAAATAAAACTGCTGGTTAAGGTGAAAAGGCATGTTAATGATATGAAAAGTCACAAAAAACAAGTCAATGTTGAAAGTAAGTGTTTACAAAGTTGATGAGAGGACAAAGAGTCGTTAAGACTACCGGAGGCCAAGACTGAACGACCATCGTTGGTATCTTCACCTGAGGTCAATAGGTTACGTTTGTTGAGTTTCCTGGGAAGTGATGAAAGGACAGCATTGTAAGTGGGGGATAAGTGGTGGCGTAGAGCCCCTCCTCTGTTCAATGACGGCTGTGTTCTGTGTTGAGCCATGCGTTTGTGTAGCGGTTGTTTAGTCTCCCCAATATACAGGTCTGTACATTCCTCACTGCATTGGACCGCATACACTAGATTGCTTTTCTTGTGTTTGGGTGTGCGGTCTTTGGGGTGTACCAGCATCTGTCTTAGTGTGTTCTTGGGTTTAAAAATCACAGGGATGTTATGTTTGTTGAAAATCCTCCTGAGTTTCTCTGATACTCCAGACACGTATGGAATCACAATGTTGTTGCGTTTGACCTTCTTTTCCTCCCCTGTAGTTTTGTTCTTCTTGGATCTTGTGGCTGTCTTCACAAAGGTCCATTTAGGGTATCCACAGGCTGTAAGTGCCCCCTTCAGGTGGTTCTGTTCCTTCTCTCTGGCTTGGGCGCTTGTTGGTATGTTTTCCGCTCTGTGGTGCAGTGTTCTCATGACCCCTAGCTTGTGCTCCAGTGGGTGGTGTGAATCGAACAGTAGGTATTGGTCTGTGTGTGTGGGTTTTCTGTAAACACCAATCTGCAGGATCCTGTCCTCTTCAATGTGTACAGGGCAGTCCAGGAAGGCCAAACTGTTGTTGTGAACATCTTCTTATGTGAACTTGATGTTACTGTCCATAGAGTTGATGTGTTCTGTGAAGGCTTGCACTTCCTGGCTTTTAATTTTAAGTCTACCTGCCCTATACTCTGCTGTGCATTACTTATTGCTCCACTGGAATTATCCCCTTTAGACCGTTTGATCCACTAAGTCCACAGACTGCATGTTGCATGTGAAACCGAAACTGGAAAACACTCACCACAAATCCACACGTTAACCTCAGCAGATTCGGTGCTGTGCTGCTCACAGTCCCAAACAGAGAAAGGCTGCGCCTCAGGTTTTAGATGTTTATATCGCAACATTCTACACAACGACACGACTTGTCACAACTGTCTGGACTCACAGGTGCACTTATTTAGCCTACTATCGTGGCGTACGCCGGTTTCACAGCAGATGGGCTGAATTGATTTTCGCCAAGCTGAAAACCTTCTCTTGCGGTACCCCCTGACATTTTGCGCCCAAGGCAACCGCCTATGTCGCCTATGCCACAGGCCGGCCCTGCTCTGCACTATCTCTTGGCTGCTTGTCAGATTTTCTCCCAGGTTCATGCAGTAAAGACATCAGGACACGCTTCAGATTTGTCTTCACTTTGAACACATTTCATCTGTGGCAGCACAACACATTACCCAGGTCTTCAGAAACTCCTGCAATGAAATTGGACTAATGGGGTATCACGAGTCACTGGCACCGTTATTTTGGGGGTCGCAAGCTAAAAATTT